AACCATGATAATTATTTACTGTTGTCTTAAGAACCTTCACCTAGATGTAAATATCTATTTAAAAACATTTCTTCTGATAACTTGGGAAATACCTTTTTTCATAGCATACAAAGTGGTCAATTTTTACTTATAATTCATGATTCAAGGCAGGAACTAAGACATTGCAAAATAACTGCAAAGCGCAAATGAAAGTTCAACCTTCCTGTATCTAATTTGTCCGTTAGAGCTACTATTGTGACTTAAGAAGGTATTCTCATCCAGGCCGGACCGCAGTCTTGACTTCGTCTGTCTCGTCAGACCCTGAGCACAGCAGTATAGCTTTTGTGGAGCAAGGCTATGCGAAATTTATTGAAATATGAGAACTAATAATCTTATTTTGGCAAAATTTAACTGCCAGTCATTCATCAATTCAAACGAAAATTGGTAAAAACGGTTCTTATATAGTATTTACTGATAGCCTCAAAAACCTACTTATGCACTCAAAATTCCGTATAATGTTTTTAAATTAACCCTTATTTTGTCTAATTATTTAAAGATAAACATAAGCTTTAAGTTACGTCAGATAACGCCAAGATAAGGGAAGTAGTTACTATTGCCAAAATGTCAGTCGGATAAAAGTTCCAACTACAGTGACAAATACGCATCCTCACTGAAAGCTAGAGATTTTCATTCATCAGCCTAGGGATCACATGTACTCGAATGCCTTAATGAATGCGATTATATTTGAGAAATACTAAAAATTGTTTTTTTAAAGATACGCATTTCACAAAAAAACCAAAACTTGTATAAGTAGCGTCTTGATTGTAAAAAATAGATGTCATTGCTTTTTCAATCACGAATTAAGAGGTTTAAAACCAAAGTCAGATAGCTGATAGCATGAATTTTGTCGTGTCAAAACTATGTTTATTATAAAGACAATATCAAATGGTGAGTTCACCCAATTTGGTTCAAGGTGACGAATTGAATTTCACATAGCTTTGCTTTCCCGGAAGGCAATCTCAACCAGGGTGGACTGCAATTTTGACCTCGCCCAGAGCTCACCAGCACTCCCAGAAGAACTCGAAACATGACATTACAGCGTATAATCACGACAGATCAACCACTACACCACATTGCCACGAGTGCTGTTGAGTCACAGGACAGATATGAATTTCTAGGAAGGCCATGCATTTTTGCATATTACATCTTTTCGTGAGATTTTCAATGAAGCAAAATAATATTTGCTACAGCAATCGACTACAGTACTTATTTTTTACTTGTAAATAGGCCTTCGAGACTACCAGTCGATCATATATATGATGTAGCTTCACTCTATTTCGTTTAATATAATAAGGAGACTTATGGTTGAATTATCCTAGTCTTCTTATCGTCTTAAACGAAATAGTGTGAATACATATCATATATTTGATTTACTGGTAGTCTCGAAAGCATACTTACAAACAAATAATCTGTATTTAGCGGCTTGATGCATTAGGAAAATTTACAAAATCAATGTTGACTTGATTTTCGCTCAAAGATCTGAGTTAAAAAGTAGAGATTAAGTGAAAAAAACAGATCTCATATGCCATTAACATCTTTTAATCTGAATGGCATCAGAAACAGTATGAATGCAGGTGAAGTCAAACTAGAAAAACACAGGTGTTAATGTATGAATTTCCTATCAACACAGACAGGATTCGGCAAATTATTATAGCTGTATGTATACTGGGCTAGATAGGACTAGAAAATGGTATTTGAAACATTTTTAATTCAAGAGAGACCAAAATAATTTATTAATTTTCTATCAAAATCCTCAGTCAACTCAGCTCGATAATAAGGGCTCAGTGTATGCCACTATCTTGGCTCTCAATCCTAGTTTAAAATAGTCAAAAATCTGTGTTAAAAAGTAGAGATCAAGTGGAAAAAGCAGATCTTATATGCCATTAACATCTTTAAATCGGAATGGCATCATGAAGAGTATGAATGAAGGTGAACGGAATGAGCAAACAAACTTTATTGTTGATTCAATCTAAAAGTTGGCCCCTCCTTGTGGGCTAGATACAACTATCCATTTTTGAGGAGCCTTGATCACAAGATCTTGTTTTTCGAGAAGATAAAGTTTGATTTTCTGCTCAGGATTAATGAGGACATAAAGGGCCTTTTCATTTTAGGCTTTTGTAAGATTGTTTGTTAATTTCAGGAAGAATATATACATCCTATCCGCCATATACCAAGTTAGTGAGGATTTTTTGAGATAATTAATATGAAATCTAAAATGTCATAGGATTTGCATTATTTGACCAAGAAACAAATTATATAATTCGCTAGCTCACGATTTTCGCATTGCCCTGGGCTGTAAAATAAATAAATTGAAAGAGGACGACACAACTATTATGAATACAATATCAATTTTTAATTAAAATTAACTTATACATTTCTTTAGGTAAAGTCTGTCTTCGATTCTGCAATTATGCCATGTTTCATCCCGTTTACGATTTTTACAACATTTAACCAATTGCCACATAATTCCAGACACCCCTAAATAAGGCCAAGACAAGTTGGGTAGCGAGGAATATCTTTTTACACAATTGTTGAGTTTACTTTCATTTCGGGTGAAAGTGTTTGGTGCAGAGATTTTAAGGTCGATCCCACCAGAAGACGACGGTGGATTCCTCTTGATCAGCTGTCGATTGATATAATGGAAAATTATTGTCGATGTTTTTTCTGAAGTAATCTATTTCGATTGAAGTGAAAAGGTGCTAAGCTTTCGTCCGTCGTATGATGAACATAATCAGAGCAGTGCATCATCCTCACGACCAGTTCTAAGTAAAAAGAGTCCAGAAAACTTACTGGATCATCACTAAAAAGCTGTATATATACTCTATATCCGACATCTCTGATGAAGTCTAAAGTGATGTGGTTAGTTCTAGTCATATGTCAACTTTGGAGCATGTGAGTTTGTATGTCCCTCTATGTGTATTGCATGTATGTATTCTTATATGCATGAAGCCAGCAGTGATGCCTCAAAATAACAGCAAAAGTAACGTCTGTCCTCGAGCCTCAAGGTTTGAAGACCACCATCAACCCATCTCTGTATATATGCTTTAACCATCAGTTTGATTGCGCAAGATTGGATACACGTCTAGTTTGGTTGATGAGCCTTGTTCTCATGGGAGGGATAAAAAGTGAGTTAAAAGTACAGAAAAGTGGCTGTGATTAGAAGCAAGACAATAAAAGACTAGTTAAATCGCCTCCTTTTTGCAGGCGGCTTAACAAACTCTCTATATTTGAATCTATTAGTTAAACACAATAAGTTTTTACATAACTTCTCGCCGATATTTCTTACATTCAGTCTATTCTTTATTCGGTTTATTTCCATCGCTTTTCTGATTTTACGTTTAGCCACAGGCATAACATAATCAGCAAAACGAGAAGTTCGAACCATTCAATCTCATATTTAGTTTGTGCCTCGTGCTCAGCCAGCTGAAGATTTTGAACCCAACAGCTTCTGTAGGCGCTTTTGTGCTCAGTCAACCTTTTTCGAATGAGACGAAAAGTCTCTCCAACATTAAAGTGACCGCATGAACAGGACCTAGCCACAAACAGTCAAATGCTAAATAAATCATCATCATTTATCAGAATTCTAAGAAACAATCGTCGAGTAAATATGCCACGTGTATGTATATACAATAAAAAGATAAACTGCATGCTCTATCGTCTGTTTTTCCAAATACCTCTTCAGCATTCAGGTTGGCCAAAATGAGCGAAAGGTCAAGATAGTAGAGGTGTATGCTGTAAAGCTTAAACTCTAGAAAAGTTAGTTTGCAATTAGTAAATTGAAAGTCGGAATAAAGGCCAAATTGCAGAGTCAGAAGTATAAAAAACCGTAGTTATAATGTTTAAAATTGAAAAAGATGAATTTGGTGCAAAGCTAAAATTTTCTGAATTA